CCAGAGAAGGGGACCTCAACTCAGAAAAATATGTCCTTTATATGAGAGAAAAGAATTTCAGCAAGTGCCTGTCAGAGACAGAGATTTATTCAGGAAAACAGATAAACATTCAATGGAGAATGAGGGTGATTTCCAGAGTGTGCTGGAGTTAAAGCATGTAATGTAGGCCATCTCCAGAGGAAGAAAGAGCCACCCTTTGGTGCTAGGGCTGGTCTAATGATGGAATCAGGGTGGAGTTGTGTGATTTTGAGTCATTTTCCCCTTGACTTGTGCATGGACCCATGTTAACTTTTGTGGCAGGGAGAACAAGGGCTGAGAACAAGGGCTAAGGGATGTGGGCTCCTTGATGGCAAGTTGCTTACTTTGCATAATAGAGCTTCATGGGTGGCCCTGCTTCATGGGTGGTGCTGCCTAGGGGCTGAAAGCTTATCTTTGTTTTGGATGGAGGACTCCTGACATATTTCACACTGAACAATTTCAGTCAAGGTGAAGGACTCCGTTTTCCCAGAGGCACCAGACCAGTTGAGATCAGTCATCATGGTGAACCTTGGCTGCTGGATGCTGGTGAATTTGCTATCAACATTTTTTAAAGATGTGGTTTCTTAAGGTTTCCGGACTTGGAAAGTCCTACAAGGGATTTTAGACCTGTATGTAATCATGACTGTAATCTCCCCAAACCTCTTTATATAATTCAAAAACCCTGACATCCACCACAGGCTTTCAAGTGTCCAACTCCCTGTGACTTCTCCAGTCTGTCTTTAACCTTTTCTGCCTCTGTGCTTTGGTGCCCCATTGTTTCTGTTTATTGAAAAAGTTAATTCCTTCAGCTTTATCACAGGGTATCACTTTTACTTGAAATGTGCCTCCCTTTCCCCCAAACATACACATACCTACTCCACACTTCAAGCTCACATCAGTTTAAACTATCATGGAATATTTTCCTATTGTCATTTAGATATTCCCGATGTTCTCTGTTACTAGAACTCATACTCTGACATTTCTCATTTTTGCATAACCTCTTGTGTGTTTGTCTTTTGTCCCTCAATTTTACTAACTGATGTCCCAGGAACATAATGAGTGGTGGTCGTGGTGATGAGTGGGTGTCAGTTTTTCCTTCTTTGGGTTCTAGGGGCATCAGAGGCCTGGTGTTAAACCAAGACACAAAGAAAAGACCGCCAACTACAATTTTAAATCAAATAAAACAAGCTTGTAATTCTGACTAGCTGAGACTGTCCCTCTCCTAAAATCCGTGGGATAGAAGACAGTCCTCCAGCTCTCTAGGAGCGCAGTTTTATAGCACAGAAAATTGCAAAAGGGGGGAGTCTTGAGAACTTACAGATAACAGGATTTTGGCAAGCATAATACAAAGGCAGGTAGTAGGTTAATGGTCTAAATGGTTCAACACTTAGGGAGTAAATTTAGATCCCAACATCAGAATTTATGAGGCACCATTAGGGTTTCAGAGAGGGTTGTTATCTGGCCAGGGAAAGCCAGGCGTGGGTGAGTTCAAGGCATGGGCAGGCATTCCAAGCAATTTTAAAACATCAAAATATAGCCAGGCCAAACAGAGATCCTAATATTTTACAGAAAACAGAAATGGATCTTTTATGACTTTTAAAAAGATGGCTCCTGATCTTAAGAGGAAATTAGGCTGGGTTTATCACCTGGCATAGCGTTAGCACTAAGGAAGAATTTACAGAATGTTCTAGATGGGTCTTGTTTAAGGAAAGGGTGAGAGTTGTGGGCATGAGAAGTGGGAGCAGAGAGTGTCTTTGGGTGGAAGTTTCCACCATGAGCTGGTGCTGATTACCATGAGGGGCAATTCCTGCCTGTTGTTTGTTCTCCAACCCTGTACCTGAGGGGGACCAGGTCCTGAATAGAGTGGATCACAGGAATTTCTCTGCCCTTGGCCCACCTCCCTATGGTCCCTCTGTCTCAGGCAGATGGACGTAGAAGGCCCAGTGTCTGGGGTGGGGAAATCAGTCAGGGGTGTCCTGATGTTTTTGTCACAGTGTCCAGTTGGGTTCCAGGTCCATGGTGTCCTGAACAAAGAATTGAGCTACACACACAAGTAACAGGTAAAGTACAGATTTATTAAGGGTGAAAGTGAAAGTAGACTCCATAAGCTAGAGCTGAGGGGTGGGGGTGGGGGGCTCAAGGTTCTGATATCTGGAAACCAGTGTCTTGTATACTGAGCTGTGATGAGTTATGGCCCTCATGAGACCTGATTGAAGACCTAACCCAACTTACTAACATGGGTCACCTCATGACACCTGATTAAATAGTGTCCAATTCCCGCGTTGGTCACTGTAGAAAACCTAATTAGAATACTGCCCACTCTGCCCTCAGTGGTCATTTTAAAATATCGAGAATGTGGTGAAGTTGTCCTGGTGTCCTGGTGATAAGTCCTCAGGGGCGGAGTTGTCGTGGTAATGAGGGACACAAACAAGGACATGACTTGTGTCCCTGTCTTGTCCTCTATGGGCATCCTTCTTTATGTCCTACCGCCTCCATCTTGGTGTCCCATCATCCCCGCCCCCGCCCAGGTCTCCCTGTGTGTCAGTCTCCTCCCAGAGGCCGCCTGGTGAGAGGGTTGTTCCTGTCCCCACAGCACGTTTCCTGGAGCAAGTTTCACATGAGTGTCATTTCTCCAACGGGACGGAGCGGGTGCGGTTCCTGGACAGATACTTCTACAACCGGGAGGAGTACGTGCGCTTCGACAGCGACGTGGGGGAGTTCCGCGCGGTGAGCGAGCTGGGGCGGCGGTCAGCCAAGTACTGGAACAGCCAGAAGGACCTCCTGGAGGATGAGCGGGCTGCGGTGGACAACTACTGCCGACACAACTACGGGGTTGTTGAGAGCTTCACTGTGGAGCGGAGAGGTGAGTGCTGGGCCGGGAGAGAGAAAGGGTGTGTGTGTGTGTGTGTGTGTGTGTGAGAGAGAGAGAGAGAGAGAGAGAGAGAGAGAGAGAGAGAGAGAGAG